CACAAGACCATGGTCACATTATTCAAATAGTCCCTTGTAGCCTTGCATAGGAAATATCTTGGGAGAATGATGGTTCGACCCAGGGTCAGAATTCATAGGCCCAAAGTATAGTTGGGGTGGGTGCCAACTCGGAATTGATGCCAATTCACGGGCGGTCGTTGGTGTATAGAATGGGGGTTTTTGACATTTTGAATGTTTATAGGTCTGCAATGGATTTTGGAAATCTGCATTGGGCTTGTTCGTACTTTTCCGGAATAGTTTCCCATGAAAAAATAATCATACAAGTACGAACATATTCCTAATGCATGATTTTAAGGGGACGTTCTTTTTTGGGATTTTGAGAGGGGGGAAAATTGGTCGATGGGAACCAAGATCCCATTGACCAAGAATCTCATGTTCTTTTTTCAGATTTATGTGGGGACCAAAGAAAGTTTATTTTCCTGGGTATGTAAGTGATACCCATCTTCTAGGTAGATAAATAACTTTCCCACCTAGGGGGAATGTTGCCAACACTTGAATGTGACAAAAATGCCTCTTTTAATAATAGATTTTTATGGCTAAAATGGTCACTACCTTGTTTACTTAGGAAATAAAAGAACATAGGTAAATGTACTTATTCGGATAAGTATTTTCCCAAAAAAACTTACTCAGATCATTACATTTACCTAGATACCAAAAAGTGAACAGAGCCTAAAGATTATACGAACTATGTGAGCACTGAAGCCAATTTCAATCCTAATAGGGACTCATTGAGTCAGACTCCATCCATGTGGAAAAGAAGAAAAATAAGACAGATCTCCCATGGGGCTGGAATTGGAATCTGCTCTTTATATAGTGCTCCTCACACCAACTTCACAGTCATATCCCACCGTATAATGGAAATATTTTTGATATATAATTAAGATATACTGTAAAGGCGGTGTGAGGAGTTCTTTTTGAATAGCAGATCCAAGATTATATCTCCGCTCCAATGATGATATCATCAGTTTTAATATTATGTCAAGAGATGTTTTCAATATGTGCTGTGAGGCGTTATGGGACGGGCCCTTGTGAGCGGAGATGTGAACTCGGCAGATCAGACATCAATTTCTTTGGGGGCTGAGCCGTTCATAGGATATAATCACCAACTTTATTGTTTAGGGCATTCCTTCCTGCTTAGTATCCATCAGTCTTTTTTGTCACTTTCCTGACGTCACTTCGCAGTTGGCACAAAGTCAGGACTCCGTTTGGAACTAGCAAAAGTGCGATAGCAAAAGGAAGAGAGAGAGAGACGGGACGTTTGGAGTTTGGACATTAGTCCCCATTGGCTTTATATAACCATCAATCGCTTGGAGAAAAAAGTAATTCCATATAAAGTTTGATTGCTTTTTTTACTTCAAAAAGATATTTTCAACGTTGTCTGAAAATGCCCATATATTCCTATCCTATTCTCATTCTAGATTACGAAACCTTTAAATTGTCATGCTTTACAAGTATATCATACACCGCACATCTTGATCGGTGTGCTGGGTCACATGCTAGAATTCCATATGTGTGGTGTAAGATGTATTTGGGATTCGAAGGAATTGTCACTTAGCCCTTATTTGAGAGTAATTATTTTTACGTACTTATTTGGGAATTGGGATCACACTAATAATCATTTATATGTCTTGGAATCGGGAAAAAAGCAGAATAAGTGTTTTCTTTTAAAATTAATCCGATTTGAAGAATCCAAAATTTTTTCCCTATTTTTAAGACCTTTTTTAGTAAGTGCTTATCTTGTTTCTTAGTCGCTGATGAATCAATTTTTGGTCAAGTACCTCATCATTTGTTCTGCTTCCAAGTGGTCGATGATTCAGAGGCCAAAGTGAACTTTTGCTGGATAAAGACCTGGATGCTGAGCTGACCAAGCCGAGTTGGGGGCAGATTAGGTGCCGAGTTAACTGGGCCAAGCTGGGCGGGTTAGGTGCCAAACTGACTGGGCCGAGCTAGGCAAGTTAGGTGACGAGCTGACCAGAGTGTCGAGATGCCTATTAGGTGCTGAGCTTACTAGAGGGCCGAGCTGCCTAGTGGCGAGCTGGATTGATTGTTGAGCTTCGTAGTTCTTTAGAAACCCGCAAGGAATCAATGTCAGAGGACCCGGGGTGGCTAACCCGACGAGGTCGCTCCGATGCTTAAGTCAGTACTCTCATAGTAGATTGCGAGCTAAAAATCACAAAGTATGAGAGCTAGAATATGTTTACTTGCCCCCCTCATGTCATTGGGGTTGGTGCCTTTATATAGGCAGTGTTTGGCGTGGGCTTCACACACCATATCCGAGATTTCTGAGAAGTCGTCTAAGTGGTTCGAGATTCCCTGAGACAACCGCCATGCACGTCGACCACTCTCTGGATCGTTCCGCACATGGACCAACTTCCAAGGATCGTTGGAGTGTTAGGATATGCATGTCGAATTTGTTGCCGAGCATGTCTCGTAGGTCGCCAGGTCGGCGCCTGGGCCAGGCCGCCAGGTCGCGCCAGGGCCAGGCTGCCAGGTCACGCCTGTGCCAGGCCGCCAGGTCACGCCTGAGCCAGGCCCCCAGGTCGCGCCTGGGCTAGGCCGCCAGGTCGCACCTGTGCCAGGCTGCCAGGTCACGCCTGTGCCAGGCCGCCAGGTCACGCCTGAGCCAGGCCCCCAGGTCGCGCCTGGGCTAGGCCGCCAGGTCGCACCTTTGCCAGGCTGCTAATTCACGCTTGTGCCAGGCCGCCAGGTGAGACACCATCAACTTGGCTAAGGCAAGTTGTTGCCAAAGTAGTTCTAGGTGTCACCTAGTTGTTCCGATATGCCATGTGTCACAATATCATTGGAGGGTTGAATCCGCCCTCATCATTTGCCCCCACTCCCGAGCCGAAAGTAACTCGACGAAGGGAGTAGATTGCTCCTTTTGGCCTAAAATGACTAATTCAATGAGCTCGTAAGCGTCGATTCAATTCCTTAGGCTATGGGAGTGACTCACAGTTCACTCTCCTTACCCTTGATTTTGCCCATGCCGAAGAGGCGACTAGGTCTTATGTGCCCATGCCGAGGAGGCGACTGGGACTTGTATGCCCGTGTCGAGGAGGCGACTGGGACTTATGTGGTGTCGAGGTCTTTTATCGGCTCGACACCTTAGCCCTTAGGCTCTGGGAAAGACTCGTAGTCCACTCTCCTTAACCTCTGATTTTGCCCATGCCGAAGAGGCGACTAGGTCTTATGTGGAGCTGGTCTTTTATCAGCTTGCCAGCTCACGCTTGGGCCAGGTCGCCAGGTCGGCGCCTAGGCCAGGCCGCCAGGTCGCGCCTTAGAGCTACGGCTACGCTGCATCAGCCTCGTTAGTGACGTCGGTTACCCACTCCTACAAGAAGCTACTAGAAGCTCGACCTACGGGGGCATCACTACTGATTTTAGGTCACTAGTTCGCACGGGAGCCTCGAAAGGCTCGACCGGCAGGGGCGTCCATGCAGTCTGTTGGCCACCTACTTCCGCGGAAGCCACGAAGAGCTCATCTTTGTAGAGGGTACCTCGCGAAGAGGACTGATGAGGCTTTATCCGAGTTGAAATAAAGTTGGTAGAGCTGCTTAGTCTGTTGGCCATCAACTTCCTGCATAGTCTTTTGAGTTCATAAAAAATGGAAACTAGAAAGTGAGAGCTTTTAGTTTCTAAAAGGTGAGAACTTAGCTTTCTGGAAGAAGAGAACTTAGCCTTTCGGAGGATGAGAGATTACTTTTTGTACCGTTTCCCACAGACGGCGCCAATTGATGAATCAATTTTTGGTCAAGTACCTCGTCATTTGGTTTGCTTCCAAGTGGCCGATGACTCAGAGACCAAAGTGAACTTTTTCTGGATGAGGACCTGGATGCCGAGCTGACCAGGCCAAGCTGGGGGCAGATTAGGTGTCGAGTTAACTGGGCCGAGCTGGGCAAGTTAGGTGTCGAACTGACTGGGCCGAGCTAGGCAGGTTAGGTGACGAGTTGACCAGAGTTCTGAGCTGCCTATTAGGTGCCGAGCTTACCAGAGGGCCGAGCTGGATTGATTGTTGAGCTTCGTAGTTCTTTAAAGATCTGCAAGGAATCAATGTCAGAGGACCCGGGGTGGCTAACCCGGCAAGGTCGCTCCGATGCTTAAGTCAGTACTCTCATAGTAGACTGCGAGCTAAAAATCACAAAGTATGAGAGCTAGAATATGCTTACTTGCCCCCCTCATGTCATTGGGATTGGTGCCTTTATATAGGCATTGTTTGGCGTTGGCTTCACGCACCATATCTGAGATTTTCGAGAAGTCGTCTAAGTGGTCCGAGATTCCCTGAGGAAACCGCCATGCACGTTGACCACCCTCCGGATCGTTCGGCACGTGGGCCAACTTCCAAGGATCATGGGAATGTTAGGATATGCATGCTGAATTTGTCGTCGAGCATGTCTCGCAGGTCACCAGGTCGGCACCTGTGCCAGGCCGCCTGTGCCAGGCCGCCAGCTCGCGCTTGTGCCAGGCCGCCAGCTCGCGCTTGTGCCAGGCCGCCAACTCGCGCCTGTGCTAGGCTGCTAGTTCACGCCAGGGCCAGGCCGCTAGGTCGCGCCTGTGCCAGGCCGCTAGGTGGGACACCATCAACTTGGCTAAGGCAAGTTGTTGCTAAAGTGGTTCTGGGTGTCACCTATTTGTCCCGAGATGCCATGTGTCACAATATCATTTTATGGCCAAATCCGCCCTCATCAGTCCCGTTGTGGCCTGCCAAATACCTATGCTCTCCCATTTGAAAGAAGACTTTTTCAAAATTCAACAAACACTTATAAGTACTTTTAGGATAAACATTTATTAATTGAATAAGCACTCCCAAACGGAGCTTATGAGTTATGACTATTTTATCAGTTTGTAGCACGTTGGTCACTTTGGTAGTTTCCTAAAATTTGAAGGGTATTCGGGGTATTTGAGAACAAAAATGAAAGAAAAGTCGGTCAAGTCAGCGGTTGGTGGCCTTAGTGGTTAATTTCCATTATATTCTTATCTGTCTCACCAATGAAATACAACCGCTCCTAACAGTCGGATTTCTCAGAAACACAGAAACACGGTAGGACAGAGAGCGAGAAAATGGGTCATGGGAGCTCGAAACCAGACTGCTTAGACTCTGCGGATGCTACAAATGGGTCGAAACCCTCGCGTACCTCCCGACTCCGGCAACGATTCCGCAGGCTGCGCCGCCGCTGCAGTGGCAGCGGTGGTGGTTCGGGTTCGCATTCTGAACTCAAACTCATCACTTCCCAGGATTTCGCCGGAATCGCTCTCATAGAACTCATCGGCGTATGAATTCTCCCTTCATGTAGTGCTTTTCATAGAATTGTCATCCGGGTTTTCTGCAGTTTTTCGTCAACGTATGTTTTGATTTGTTGTAGGCGGAGATGGGGTTTAAGGACAAGTGGCTTGCTTGTCTTTCGTTGGGAGAGCAGACGTTTCGGACTACAATTTCGGATCAGTTGAGTAGAGCGATCTTGCGTCTCGCCTTCTTGTTCATTATTCATTGATTAATTGCTCCACTATCATTACTACTATCATTTCTTCTAGTGATTTTACTACTATCATTAACATGCTCTGCAATATATACATTGATACATACGAAGATCATGAGAATATTCAGCTTTCAAAATAGAATTTATTGGTTTTGGGGGACCTCTCATTGGGGAACTGGTATTTTTTTGTTGGGTTATAACATAGATGATGCAGGAAGTTTAGAGCTTACCTTGAACGAACAACAATCAGAGAATAAAAGCAAATAAATGGAAAAATTTGAGTAGACAGAGTGATTTGCAGCTTACGTAGAGACTACCTGCCTGGGCGTAGTAGCCAACTAGAAGCCTTCTTCTAATGACTAAACGAATTTTTTATTAATATAACCCATTAAGCTACTTAAACAAATGATGTGTAAAACCTACATGTGTTATCATGGTAGGACCTACTAGGGTCCACCTCATCACTCTGGATCAATGGAGGAATTACTGCATTTGACAGTGGTAGGTCTAAGCCTAACCAAGGTTCTTCTAGTAATCTTATCCAATTAAAATGGCATAGTGGTTTTGATATCCATTCAATAGTTCATTACATTTTAAACATACTAGCCATGTAGCACGTCTTAGGTGCTATTAACAGTTTATAACAGTTATTACAAAAACAGCAGGCTTAAACAAATAAACGTTGAAACCAGAGCAAGAAATGCTTTGTAATGTAATTCTTATTACAGTTATTATAGCTCCTCAGGTCTAGTTGAGGCTTCTGTACATTTTTGTTTTGTTAGTTCTGTTGGTGGCATTTCTTCCCCTTCATTGGTTCCAGTCTCTGCTTGTATGCTAGTGGGTATTCAAGAAAGAATTGGTTTCTCCCACAGCACCTCTTAACATCCTAGCAGGAAAGAGGCAAAAGGGAGGAGTGAAGGATTGCACTTTTTAGAGTACTATCAATAAACTCCATATAAAAGTATAAGTTTCGTATTAAAACATAGAAAATCAACATATTTATGAGAAGAAACAGAAGAAAGAAAAGAAAATTCTGAAAATATAGGGGCTAAGTCCCTATTTTTTTGTCTAGGAAAAGGAAAAAAAAGGTGGAAGGAGAAGAAGAATGTGTTGATTGGACAGAATTTTAAATTCTTCCTTTCTTATTGGTTCAGTTTTGAAGTCCGTGAGGGTTCGAGACAGAATACAGCAACATGTGTTGATTGAACCCTAACATCTATAAAACTAATAAAAAGAACTAATATATAAACCCACAAAAATGAACATTTTAGTTTAATGATATCTATTTAATTATCCTAATATAAAGAATACAAAGAATATAAAAGTGATTCATAGCGGCATGTATAAAATTGGTAGGCGATTAAGCAAGGCAGCCATCCTTGGGTGCTTTGTCGCCTAGGCATCACCTTGACAACCATGGTGCAATGTCTTTAAAAGCTTTAGCCACATGATGCTATTAAAAATGAATTTGACTAATTCTCACCATTTTATGTATTAATTAGTGTTAGATATTTGATTAGACCTGATTTCCTTCCCGAATAAAGGGAAAATAGAGAAGAAAAACAGAGAGAAAGAAGGAGAGGAAGAGAAGAGAAAGAGAGAAAAGAAGATGAGGAGATGGTTTGGCTGCTCTCTCTAATCGAGAGAAAAAAATCAAATAGATAGATAGATAGATAGATAGACAGACAGACAGACAGACAGACAGATAGACAGAGAGATAGATAGATAGATAGATAGAGAGAGAGAGAGAGTTTCCACACACAAAGTACAATGACCTTTGTGCCCCTCTTTAAGTATGGGACACTAAGCAATCTCAAACATAATAAACAAAACACACTAGAATAAACTATTCTGAAATGACTCAAATACCCTTGGGTTGTCGACTCTAACACTCCCCCTCAAGTTGGAGAATATAAACCCAGCTTGTTACATATATGATCCACCTTTCCCCAAATCAACCCTTTTGTGAATAAATCAGCCCATTGACTCCATATATTCACATATACTATATATATCACTCCACTGAGCACTTTTTCTCTTACAAAATGGCAGTCAATTTCAATTTTTGTTCTCTCATGGAAGACTGGATTAGATGCAATGTGAACAACAGCTTGATTGTCACAATACAACTTCATAGGATTGTTGAGTGTATACCCAATCTCATGGAGAAGGTTCTTCAACCACACTAACTCACAGGTTGTGTGCCATAGCTCTATATTTAGCTTCAACAGTGCTTCTTGCTACCACTATTTGTTTCTTTCTCTTCCACATTACCAGATTCCCTCCAAGAAAGGTACATCTTGTAGTGGACCTTCTATCAGACAATGGGCCGGCCCAATTTGCATCTGTATAACCTTCTACTTCAAGACTTCCTCCTGATTATAATCCATGACCTGGGGCCTCTTTCAAATACCGTACAATCCTCAAAATTGCATTCTGATGGGAAACCCGAGGCTTCTGCATAAATTGATTGACTACACTTATTGCAAAGGAAATGTCTGGTTAAGTAATAGTCAAATAATTCAACTTACCCACTAACCTCCTGTACCTCCCAGGATCATCAAATTCTTTGCCCGCTTCAATGCTTAATTTGGTGTTGGGTTCCATAGGTGTTTTGACTAGTTTAGTACCCAACAATCTTGTCTCTTCTAACAAGTCAAGCACATATTTTCTCTGACACAAATTTATGCCATGTTTTGACCTTGCAACTTCTATGCCTAAGAAGTATTTCAATTTGCTAAGATCTTTTGTCTGAAAGTGATCATGTTGACAAGCCTTCAATTTATTAATACCCAACTTATCATTGCTTGTAATGACAATATCATCTACATATTCCACCAATAGGACATTTCCAGCTTCAGAATCATAGTTGAACACGGAATGATCAACCTGACATTGCTTCATACTGAAGTCTTTAATTACCTCACTAAATCTACCAAACCAGGCGAATAAAGATTGTTTTAGTCCATAAATTGCCTTCTTGAGTCTACACACCTTACTATCCTCCCCCTAAGTAACAAACCCTGGTGGTTTTTCCATATACACTTCTTCACTATGATCAACATGTAGAAAGGAATTTTTAATGTCAAGTTGATAGAAGGGCCAGCTAAACATGGCTGCTAAGGATATCAACACACGAACCGAGCCAATCCTGGCAATCGGAGAGAATGTCTTTGTATAATCCACACCATACAACTAAGAGTACCCTTTGGCCACCAACCTAGCTTTCAGGCTCTCTCTGCTTCCATCTGGTAGGTATTTGACTGTATACACCCACTTACAACCTACAACGTGCTTACTAAGACGAAGAGAGATTAGCTCCCACGTGTGATTATGATTAAGTGCTGAGAGTTTCTCTTCCATTGCTTTTTGCCACTATGGAGAGATAATGGCTTCCTAAACATTCTTAGGAATAGAAACAGTTGACAAAAGAGAAACAAACTGACAATGGGAAGTAGAAAATGAGAGACAGAGACATAGTTAGAAATAGGATGTAAAGTACAACTTCGTTTACCTTTATGCAAGGCAATGGGAAGATCAAGATTAAACGGAGAATGCATCATGGGGTTAGGAATAATTGCCAGATTTGTCGACGGAGAAGAAACTCGAGGAGGAGCCAGTGTCTGTTTATGCGTATACACATCCCTGATAGGTGGTCACTCAGTAGGAACCTGTAGAGGAGGAGACGAAGACACATGAGTAATGGGAACAAGAAGAATGCGGTCATCAACAAGAATTGGAAGAGGAACTGCAAGGGATGAAGGATGACTCTCATTACCCATAAAGAATGGAACAAACTCAAAGAACGTGACATCAAGACATACAAATGAATGTTTAGAGGATGGATGATAATACTTATAGCCCTTCTATGTGCGAGTGTATCCAAGAAAGATACACACTTAGTAGAGCGTGCATCTAATTTGTCCATCCAAAAACCCTTGGAATAAGAAGAAAGGGGGACAACATAGGAAACAAGACAAAGAAGGGAGATTGACCTCCAATGATAGACAATGGCATCCGGTTAACGAGAAAACAAGTTGTAAGAACAACATCACTCAAAAAACGTTTATGAACACTCATGTGATGCAAAAGGGACTGAGCATTCTCAAGTAGATGATTGTTCTTGCGCTCAACCACCCCATTTTGTTGAGGTGTATAGGTGCAAGAGGTTTGATGGATGACCCCGTGTTGTTCTTGGTACTCTTTAAATGGGGTATAGAAGTATTCCTTTCCATTGTCAGAACGAAGAATTTTAATGTGAACACCAAACTGAGTGCGAATTTCAGCATAAAATTTTTGAAAAATGGAGAACAATTCACTCTTTCTTTCATAAGATAAAGCCATGCCATCCTTGAATAATCATCAACAAAAATTACTCGAACTAAAGAAAAATGAACTAAAGAAAAATGACTCGAACTATGACTATCAACTCTAGGATTGAAGGAAACTCAATGATGTTTCCTGTACAGACATGACTCAAATTCCATAGAAGAAAGATGACACAAAGACAGAACAAGTAACTAAAGTGTCTTGAGAGAAGGATGACCAAATCTGCAATGCCATTGAAGAGGTGTAAGAGAAGACTGAAGAGCTACTGTCAAACCACCACCATCAAAATAATACAACCCACCAGCTTCATGCCCTTCACCAATCTTCATCCCCGTCTTGGATCTTGAAAAACACAAGAATCAAGAAAGAACGTTATAGAACAGTTTAGAGATTTGGTCAATTTTCTAACAGACATAAGACTAAAGGAAATTTGGGTACATACAATAGTAAAGATAAAGATAAAGATGCAATATCAACATTGCTAGTACCATATATGGGTGAGGTGGAGCCATTAGCTAAGGTGACTGTTTGTGATATAGACGATGGAGAAAAGGAAGAAAACAAACCTAGAGTCCCAGTCATATGATCGGTGGCTCCAGAATCAATAATCCAAGGTGAGGGTTCGGAAGCTAGACAAACTATACCTGAGTGAGCAAGAGTGCGTGTATTCTATTGGGAAGTAGCTCGAAGGAACTTTTCATACTCATCATGTGAGACATTCATCATCTCCTTCCTAGAAGCACCAGTAGATGTAGAAGGTGCTTGATCAGTTTGTTGAGTATCAACTGCATCACTACCACCCCTGTTGCTGCATGATTGGCCCAAGTAGAGGGATGCCAATGTAAGTCATAACAAAAGCTAACAGTGTGTCCTTCCATCCCACAATCTGTCTCAACCTCCACTATGTCCACCACCACGGTGCAACATAGGTCCACCATGACCTCCTTGAACTACACAACCTCCTCCTCTATTTCCACGGCCTCCCCCTCTCATCACTGCAAAGGCTGAGGCATGGATACTTCCCTAGACAAGAAACGACAACTCCTTTTTAGTCTCTCTTCGATCCTCCAAGTATCCACCAAGAAATCTGAAACTCGATCCGCTGAGGGCGCTGAGAAGAGCAAAAAGAACTGGGAAGAAAATCAGGGCTCTGATACCATGTTAGATATTCGATTAGACCTGATTTTTCCTTCCTGAAATAAAGGGAAAATAGAGAGAAAGGAGAGGAAGAGAAGAGAAAAAGAGAGAAGATGAGGAGATGGTTTGGCTGCTTTCTCTAATCGAGAGAAAAAAAATCAAATAGCCCAGCTGACCAGAATAATAAAAGTAATAATATATATATATATATATATATATACCTTTGTGCCCCTTTGTGCCCCTTTTTAAGTATGGGACACTCTATGCAATCTCAAACATAATAAACAAAACAAACTAGAATAAACTATTCTGAAATGACTCAAATACCCTTGGCTGTCGACTCTAACAATTAGTTACAAAGAACCATGCTTTTTTGTTGCTTCTCTAACATATGCTTCATAAGAAACCAAAGGATATTCAATGAAAAATTTATGTCAAGGGGGGAAGTTATTGAAATCATAATGATCAGAACCGCACATTGGGTTAAAACCTTGGACCTCTTCAGAAGCATATCTACAGACAATATACTAAAGAATTGGAGGGAAGTGGCACAATCAGAAATGCATAGAGAAAAGGCAAGAATGAATTGGAAACCACCAGGACCAAACAAACTAAAGCTGAACTTTGATGGCAGCTCCTTTGGCAATCCAGGGAGGGCTAGGATAGGGGGAATTGTTTGGAATCATCAAGGAGAAGTTGTGGCACTGTTCTTTGGACCAATTGGCTTTGAAAACTCAATTCAGGCCGAAACTCAGGCCCTCTCCTACAAGGTCTGAAACTGGCTGAGCAGCTGGGAGTAAGAGAGATGGAAATTGAAGGGGATTCACTATTAGTTATAAATTGGGCAAAACAAATCGACTTAGCACCTTGGAAGTTTAGTTCATTTTCAGAAAAATTGGCTCACTAGCAAGAAAATTCAGTTCCAGCTTTGATTAGGTCAAAAGGGAAGCAAATAGTATGGTGGATTCTCTAGCAAAGCAGGGAGCTGATAGACCTGCTTTATTTTGGGCAATTCTGTAATATGTTGTAAACAGGGTCATGAAAAGATGACTTGCATTGTACTTTCACAGTAACTTTAATTAATTAAAGGTTTAATTTACTGATAAAAATATATTTATTTCATAGCTGATATTTCTTTTATCATAATTTGCTGAAGCTTTTTTTGTTTTTGTATATGCTTACATGTAACAATGCTGCAGTACGGACAAGCCTGTGTGGAAATCTGTGAGTAAACACAAAATACAATATTTTGCTATATCTTTTTCTTTTGTAACTATAAGTAGTTACTTCATGCTGTAGTAGAAGGGTATCTTCTGTTTCTTCAATAGTTTGAGCCACTATTACAATTTGGTTCTATTAAATGGGCAATAGTTGTTATTTTTTTTTCCTGAATAATCATGTTTGGAGATATCAACTCCATCTACTGCCTTCATTTCAGGAGAAGAAAGTTCTTTTGGAAACAAATGGTCCTCATATTGCCCGTATATCTGTCTTTGAGGTGTGTAATGCATGCAATTGATATCCAATTTGTTTTCTGTTCTTTTGTTCACTTCGGTCAGTATTTCATGATAGAAACTGCCATGGAAGAGGTAGTTTGATGGAAAGCTTTTATTTTAACACTTCAATTCACACTGACACATATAAGAAATTTATAATGTTTTGAGATATTTGCTATAGATTATAGACCTATCCTCATTTTAAATTTATTTGGTTACTGGAGTCTTGCTTATGAATTTCACTTTTATTTAATAATTTACTATAGATTATAGACCTATCCTCATTTTAAATTTATTTGGTTAATAGAGTCTTGCTCTATAATTTGTTTTATTGCCAACTTTCCTTATGTTATCTTGTTCATTTTTTTTTTCCAAAATGAGACTTTATTGTCCAGTCAGATTCTCAGGAATCAGGTTGTACCCCCAATCTGAATAAGCCCTCAAACCCCATTCAGGATTGGTGAGCCAGCCTCTTGGATTTATGACATATTGGACCTGATAGGTCAATTGGAATTGGTTGGATGTGCATTGATCCAACGACTAAAAATAAGCATGGAGCACCATACAAATTTGCAAGAGACAAAAACTGACGAGGCAAAAAAAAAAAAAAAACGAAAAGGAAAAGAAAAAATGTGTGAGTGCATTCTGTTTTGCATGTTTTTTGTAGTGGGGTCCCAAATTGTTGTCTTTGGGTAGCTTTGTTGACAGTTTGGGACCAGGGGTATTTTCGTCATTTTATAAGTCAGATTTTTGGTCAGGGGCAGTTGGGTGCATTTCTGTTGGGTTTTGATCTCTTGGGTCTTTTTGTAACAAAAGTTATCTTTTAGGTGTTCAATTGAAGTTAGTGAAGAAAAACAACCTTTTGAGAAGAAAGGACTGTTTAGAAAGATGCAAAAATCAAAAGAAAGTAGCAGAAATCAGAGTTCAAGAGGGGAGAAGATGAAGAAGAAGGTGGCGGAAACTTGGGTTCAGAGAGAGATTTTCGAACATAATCTCTTCTCTTACACCCTTAATTCTATTTTATTAAGTTAAACT